TTAATTGTTTTAAGTGCATTTGTTGCATTTTAGTGCAAGAATAAAAATTATGATTTATGTAAACTTTTGGCTTACATTTTTTAGTATTTATTAAAGAGTCAATAAAATATCAGAGAAAATAAATGTGACAAGTTAAAAGTATCAGCTCTGCTCTTGATGGTGTGCAGTGGCTAGGATGAGAAAGAGCAATAGCGCCGGGCATCCAGCCAAACAAACACACTTAAGCTTTATTTCAATTAGCTTTAAAATATTACAATTATAGAATAATTATTTTTATTTTAGAATGAAATGCTTTAAGAGACAAATATCTATCAATGTTTAATATTTAATCAATGAAGAAACATAACCCATATTGAACTCTAACGAATTGCCCCTGATAAATTTTGTGACAGAAAAAAAAATTAAAACCTGATAGATTTCCGGATTTTAGAAACACCTTCTAGTTTTACTATTCAAACGAATTGCTTTCGATGTCTTTCACCCCGTCTGTCTCATTAGTGATCAACATATTTCGATATAATTTTTTTTCCGTTCTTACTTCATATTAATTTGTTTGCGACAATTAACTTTTATACCTTTTTTACTAAATTTTTCTGTGAGGAGTTAATATTGAGGGAATTAAAATTAACTGAAACTAAATTGGCTTTTTTTGAATGCCTTTTTTACTTACATCATCCACACACGCAGCTGTCTGCTCTAAATAATGCGAGAATATAAAATGAGACAGACAGAAAAAAAATTAAATTCATATTTAAGAGTATTAGTTAATTGTTTTTTGAATTGACTTTTTAAGTTATTTAGATATTTTAAAGTGTTATTTAAAACTGCAGCATATCATATGAAAGCATTAATTGTATCATTTGTGCTATTTTAAAGTAAAATAAAAAGGAATTGTGATCCTTAGAAACAGATATTAAATAGTCTCATGAGCAAATGATGGGACAAAATTATCTTTTAAACAAACCAAAAAACTTTTTTACCTCTTAAACTAAAAATTTTTTATTTTTAAATAATTTATTAATACTGAAATTGTTTAAAAGATATATTTCTTTCTAATGACAACGAAGTTTTTTTATTTTACCAGCCATTTATTTATATTTTTTAAATTTATTTTTTATTTTATTAAATTAAATGCACAAGCTTAAAATAAAAACAAATCTGTCAAAATTTCATAAATAGTTTCGATTTACAATTTTAAGAAGTTGTTTCGACTTTGATTTAAAAGCCTTATTACTTTAAACACATAACAACAACAAAAATCAAGGAATTAAAAATAGAAACAAGTATGATCAATAAACAAATTCTGAGGGCCCCAGTTCCGAATGAAACTTTAAAAAAGAAGAAAAAGCCTTTGTCATCTCGGGGCACCAAGCTACAACTTATTTAGCTTATACGTAAATCCGGCCTTGCTACTTTTAAATAAAACTATTAAAGAAGTATTTTAGTTCACGACTGAATTATTTGAGCTAAACATAACCAATGATAACAGGGATGAAATCACGTTATTACAAGTCTAGCAGGATTGGCTTCGCGGAGGCCGCGGAAAAAGTTGGCTTATCGGCGTAGAAGGAAAGGAAGGATTCCATCGCTCGCTGCTGATGTTGGCTGGAGATATACCCGAGACTGGACACGAAATAAATCGGGGAGACTGACCGTCTTGATCAAGATAGTGATATAGTGAAAGTGGCTTGCGCGTGTGAAAATCCTGAAGTGTACATATGTGCGCGTATAAAAAAGCCTGCAAAAATTTGCTGCTCGGTGTTCTAAAAAATACCTGTTTGTAAAGTGATGAAGTACGCGAGTGTTAAAATTTTTTTTCAACACTTGAAACACGTGAAGTGAAAAACGAACATAAAGAAGTGTCACCTGCATACATTATTTCTTTCCTTCATAATTAGTAGCGATAATTTTATGATTGCGTAGGTCAAGTGAGCTAAATTTCTTATTATGAATAATTGAATAGAGAAATACATTTTTAAGGGTTAGATTGCATTTCTTGTGTTTATATTGCTTTTTTTTAAAAAAAAATAATGATATAATATTGTCTTTACAGTGCATTTTAAATGTTTTTGAAATAAATAAATGTGATTCAAACGCCTATTAAACTAGTGACGACAAATAAAATTGAGTTGTTATTTAAACTTTTATTTCCTAATGATTTATCACGATTAAATCGTAATAAAATACTAAATTTTTCAGCATTTTCTTTTGAACCTAACAATGAAGAATTTTCAAACAAACTGAAAGAAATTTATAATACTTTTAATTTTTCGGAATTAGTCAAAATTACAGACATTCTTAATATTTCCAGTGAGGGAAATAAGAATGAAATAGCAAAACATATTTTAACTTGCTTATGTGATTTTAATTATTTAAAAAATTCTATAGTAATTGAAAATCCCTCTGAAGCTGGGGATGAAATTAGGCAGGTTGAATGTAAACAAACTCAAACTGATTTTGAACCACATTTACCAACTAAAACTTGTGTAAATCAATTTACACAAGTTAATTTCAGTTCTAATAATGATGCAAATAATAGAGAACCAGAAACAAAATTAATAGTTAATTTTTCTGACACTGAAGCAGTTACTCCTATATTTAAAGGAGATAAACATGAAAATATTAATTCTTGGTTCGAAAATTTTGAAACTCATGTAAATTTATTTAAGCTTTCTGACATGCAAAAATTTTTATTTGCCAAAAGATGTTTAAAGGGTAATGCTTTAACATTAATTAGAAGTGAAACTTGTTTAAATTCATATGAAAAATTAAAAAAATCTTTTACTTGAAGAATTTGGACTTAATTGCAATAATGCAGAAAAACGTGCAATGTTGCAAAAAAGAAAGCAAATATATAATGAAACTCTTCAAGAGTATTTCCCTAAAATGAAAGAAATTGCTACTCAAAGTGATATTGATAACTTAGCTCTAATCACTTACATAATTCAAGGAATACCAGACCAAACAAATAATAAATCAATTCTTTATGGAGAAAATAATCTTTTTGAATTTAAACAAAACCTTGAAAAAATTAAAAGTGACTTAGATAAAAATAAATGTCAAAATAATAAGGGACCATATATGATGAAAATAGAAAACCCAAAATATGACATTAAATGCTTTAAGTGTAATGCACCAGGACATAAAGCCTCGGCTTGTCCTAAACAAAAATGTAACCCCGAATGTGACAAAACCCAAAATATATCATACAATACAGGAGAACTCAATAAATCAATGTAAATATTGCTCGAAGAAAGGACTTTTGAATCAATTTCACATGGGTTCTTTGTGTGTAAACAACCCTAACAATGTGGAAGTAAACGTCCAAAATATGACAAATAAACAATAGCAAATAATATCCGGATATAAAGTGGAAAATAAGTACCTAAATGGATATAAAGTGGAAAATAAATACCAAAAGGGTCGTCCAAAATCAAAACAAAATAAAAATGAGAATGTAGACAAAGAAATATTATTGAATGTTGATGCCGGGTCAACATTGAAAATAATACCAAAAGATTTTGCGTCAAAATTAAATATTCCTATTAAAAAATGCGAAGAATTAAATGTTACTCAAACGAAAGGACAATTAACACTTAACGGAATTTGTGAGTTTCCTTTAAGTTAGGCGAAATTGTTAACTCAGCTAAGTTTATTATAATTGATACTGATTTACCATATGCTTTATGAGTTGCTTTATTAGGGTTGCAGACTTGCAAAGATTTTTGTTTGTTTATTGATTGTGTCGGGCCAGTTGCTACTCAGTTTGGTAAGAGACTGATCACCTCTGCTAATTCTAATAGGGACAACTTATCTTTGCACATTAGACAGCAAAATTCTCAAAATGTTAAGGTTAAAAATGGTGAAAAAATAAAAGTTAAAGATGTTTCAGTAAAAGTAAACATTTAAAAAAATAATGTAAAGGGTAACAAAAATAAAAAGAAAAGGAAAAAGAAAAAATGTCCAAAAATTTCAAATGATTCGAAGATATATCTAGGTAATGGTATTGACATTATCAGGTCAATATCGACGAAAAAATAAAAAAATTAGAACAAAATAGAAAATGTGGACTTGAAAGAAATTTTAAAAAGTTATGATGATATTTTTACAAAACATAAACATTGTTCGATACCAATTGATAGATTTCTATGCTGGTTCGTTTGTTAACAATAGAATTAAATAGCGATTGGACTGTATTAAAGATTTTATTATGATTGGTGCTACGAGCACGCTGTAGCTATAAGATCAACAACTAATTTTCAACTGTTTGGGGTTACAAGAAACGGTGGCGAGGATGCTGAGTCAAAGATGCCAAGTTGGCGCTATATTTCTAAGATATTGAACATCCACCCGCCGTTGAATTATATTCAATAAACATACAAATTAGCATAACAATAGTACATAAACATATTCCAATATAAAATTTGCAAAGAATGAATAAATGCGGTAGGTACACATAATGAGAAAATTAACATACATCTTTTTTAATTGCCCAATGGCAAAATACACAATTTACTAATGCTACATTTAACAATCCCCTTGCTTGTTTTAATCTCCTCTACTCTAACCTTTCCATCCGTTCCAGGAAATAGTTTTAAAATTCGTCCCAAGACCCACTGATTTACAGGAAGATTATCCTCCTTTATTAAAACCATCGCATTTAAAATTATGTTTGTTTTCTCTACCTTCCATTTTGTTCTTTGTTGCAAATTGTTCAAATAGTCGCGAGACCACTTAGTCCAAATGTATTGAACAATTTTTGTCAACCTTTGCCATCGAGAAAGTCGGGTTTCCGATTTATCCAACAAAATTGGTTCAGCTATGGCAGTTATAGACCTTCCAACCAAAAAATGCCCTGGTTTTAGAACATCGAGGTCATCAATATCATCTGACAAAGGTGTTAATGGTCGAGAATTTAGGATTCCTTCGACTTGTGTTGTTATTGTAAGGAATTCCTCAAATGTTAACTTTAGATTTCCTATAGCACGTTTTAAGTAAAACTAAAAGGATTTGACCCCTGCCTCCCAGAGGCCCCCGAAATTTGTAGCTCCGGGAGGAATAAAATTCCAAACTATCTCTTCGGATGCCAAATAGGATGTTAGTTTATCGTCAGGAAATCTAGTTAAATTCTGCAATCGCTGCAATTCCCTACTAGCCCCAACAAAGCTTTTTGCATTAGCAGATGATATTGTAGCACATTTGCCGCGCCTAGCCGCAAAACGCTTTAAGGTAGCAAGAAAGGCATCAGTTGTTAAATCGGAAACCACTTCTAAGTGAATCGCCTTCGAGGCTAAACACACAAATATTGCAACATAAATCCGTTGGAAATTTCCTTTTCTATGGTGTTTATATTTAATTTGAAAAGAGCAGCAATAATCAACACCAGAGTGCAAAAAAGGATATTTAGGGTTTACTCTTTCTCGAGGCAAGGTTCCCATAAGTTGATTTGAAACAAGGGGTTTATGTTTAAAACAAACTATGCATTTATGTACAATTTTCCTAGCTATCGATCGACTACGAAGTGGCCAAAACCTTTCTCTAGTGCAATATAATAACGCTTGAGGTCCTAAATGGAGATTTTTGATATGCAAATGAGTCATTAACAATTTAGTGAAAGGATGGTTTGCAGGAAGTATAGCTGGATGCCTTTGAGAATAATCCCGAGCAGCATTATGTAAACGACCACCGACTCGGACAATTTGATGACCACCAAGAAAAGGATTTAAAGAGTTAAGTTTACTCTTACCTGAAAAAGCCCTGCCCTTGGAAATGGCCTTTATTTCCTCCTTAAAAGCAGATGCTTGTACATTTCCAACTAAAAAGGACTCCGTCTCATTTAGTTCATTAGAGGATAACTTACCAAATCTTTTGTTACCTGGATTTGTACAGTTGAATATGAATCTGAAAGCATAACTTAAAACATTCGAAATTTTAGTATAATTATTGCTACGATTTAAAATATTGTCAATTAAATCAAGTTTATAAGAAGTTATAAGTATTTTGGCAAGGGGTTTGAGTTCCTGTAAAAATTCACTGTCCGAAGAGAGTTTTTCAAAATCTATTGGAACAATATTCAGTTCTTGTTTCAAAAAATCTGGTGGTTTCCAGAGTTCATGGGAGGAAATTTCCAAAGCATTCAGACCACGAGAGAGGACATCTGCAGGATTTTTATCAGATGCAACATGATTCCAATGACAGTTCTTAGTGAGTTCTTGTATTATTTTAACTCGATTGCTGATAGAAGTCTTGAGTTGATCAGGCGACCGTTGAAGCCATGCCAACACAATTGTAGAATCTGTCCACAACATTATTTGTTGAATGGGCAAGGTTAGAGACTTCAGAACCTTGTTCAAAAGCTGTGCCAATAAAACACTGGCACACAACTCTAAGCGAGGAATCGTGATAGGCTTTACTTTTGAAACGCGGGACTTGCTGCACTAAAGTCTCGTATATGATGTTTCTCCCGAAATGGATTGCATGTACAGAACTGCTCCATACGCAACGGCTGATGCATCGGAGAAGCCGTGAATCACGATTTCACTCTTCTCCCCCACGTGACGAGGAATTTGTATGTTTTCAATGGCAGGCAGAGTAGAAACAAAGCACTGCCAGTCTTTAGCCATTGAATCTGGAAGCGGTTCATCCCATTACAATCTGAGTATCCAGAGTTTCTGGAGAAACAATTTAGCCTTGGTTAGAATGGGACCAAGAAATCCAAGGGGGTCGAACAAGCGTGAGATGGTGGATAAGACCTTTCGTTTAGTGTATGAGTCATGAATATTTACATCTACCTTGAAAGTAAAATAATCTAAATTTGGGTTCCAGATCACCCCAAGGGAATTAATGGTATTTGGTGGCTCACAAAAGAAATCATAGGCTTGGTCTTCTAATGGTATGGAATTAGGAATTTTTGAAGTGTTAGTGCACCACTTGTGTAAGCTCATACCCGCCTTTTTAAACAGGTCTACTAACTATTCTTGTAGTAATTGAAATTCTTGAAAGTCTGAAATACCTGACAAAATGTCATCCATATAAGTGTCTCTAATTATGACAGCAGCGGCTAAGGGAAAGCTATCCCCCTCATCAATGGCTAATTGCTTAATAGTTCTGGTTGCTAAGTAGGGTGCACAAGAGGTTCCGTATGTAACAGTGTTAAGTTTGCACTGGGTCATTCACGCTGTTTTTCCATAATATCAACTGTAAATTCCGATGATCAGGGTGAATCAAAATTTGCCTAAACATTTTAGAAATGTCAGTGGTGAACACATATGCATGTTGCCTGAATCGCAAAAGAATTGAAAATAAATCTTGTTGTATAGTACCGCCCTTGTACAAAATATCATTTAAAGAAAGACCCGATGTCGTTTTGGAGGAAGCGTTAAATACCACTCTCAACTTAGTGGTTTTACTATCTGGGCGAAGTACACCATGATGAAGTAAAAAATACGAAAGTGTTTTATCAAGAAGTTCTACAACTAATTGCACATGCTGCAGGTCAGCATATTCCATTAAGAACGTTTTATAAAGTGATTGCAACTTCTCATTTTTAGAAAGTTTTTTCCATAACTGATTTAAACGCATTTCGGCAACGGCTTCAGAATCACCGAGCGAAGCGGGATCCTCTTTCAAAGGCAACTATACTATGTAACGCCCTTCATGATTTCGATAATGAGTATTTTTATATTGAGTTTCGCAAAGCTCAAATTCGACACTATGTTCAACAGAGGGCTCCTCAACAGTTTCTATATTCCAAAATGCTTGTAGCTGTTTATCAAGGCTTTCCGAATTTATATCTGAACCAAGCATTAATCCACAATATGCTCTATTTGTAATATTATCGGGGCTCCCCACGGCAATGTAACCAAATGCAGTTTCTTAAAACAACCAATTACTACATGCCGATCGAAACTGATTTGGCTTCAAAATTTCAAAAAAGAGCTCGCAACCTATAATTAATTCTACTTCTTTTTGTGAATTAAACTCTGGATCAGCCAAATTAATGTCCGGTGGAATCCTTATATTAGATACTTCTACTGGATTAATTATCGTTAAATTTGTGATCGAAGGAACAATTAAAAGTTCTAAAGATGTGGAAAAACTCCCACTATTGTTTTTAATTACAGTGGTAACCTTGTGTTTGATATTTACCGAAATATCGCTCAATCCAGAGACAGAAGCATTTATTTTTTCCTTTTTCAACATTAAGTCATTAGCTAATTTTTGTTCACAGAAAGAAAGATGAGAAGCGGAATCCAAAATCGCTCTGCATGGATAATAGTCTCCCAATTCATTTCTAATATAAACAACTGCAGTAGGCAAGAGAATATTTTGTATCTTTTTTGATACTAAATAATTTGAAAAAGTGTTCGAATGTTCTTGTGGGAATGAATCATGCAATTGCGAGACAGTTGTTTGATCGGCGCCTGGCATCGTAGAAACTGAGGAGGTAGAAGGCGGGGAAGAAATCTCATAAATATGCAGTAAAGTGTTATGGCGTTTTTTGCAAACGAAGCAGGAATTATTCGACTTCCAGTCTTTTACTTTGTGATTATTCTTTAGGCAATTAATACACAAATTTAAACGTTTCATTTCATTAAATCTATCCGAAACCTTCATATTTTGAAAGGTATTGCACTTAAAAATCATGTGTGGTAATTTACAGATTACACAAGAGTTGGGATTATTATTCGAATTCAGGAAAGATTTACTCTTATTAACAGCTTGCTTATGTTTATAAATTGAAGAAGAAGCTGTTCGACTAATACTATCAAGACTTTGGCTTCTTTTTTCTAAAAATTCTAAAAACTTATCCAATTCTGGTATTTCATTTGATACGGTAGTTTGTTCATATTGTTTTCTGGTTTCTCGATCTACCTTTTTCAAAATGATGTTTAGCAAAAGTATGTCAGATAAATTATTACGATCAAAATTTAGAAGCTTCAGAGCTCTGATATTTTTCTTTAAAATATCTACCATATTTCTAATATCTCCAGCAGATTCATTTGTAAGTTTTTCAATTTCCAAAATTTGATTTATGTAAGTCTCAGTGAGGAGACGTTTATTCTCAAATCTATTTTCTAATGCTTTTAAAAGTGACTCAAAAGAATCGTCAAGAGTTTCGAGACGTTTAAGCGTCGCCCAGCAATGACGCTTTCAAATAATGCAGTTTTTGAGAGTCATTTAAATCATTGTTTTTAGTTATAATGTTATGTATATGTTAAATTGTGATTTAAAATTGGGCCATTCATCAAATTTACCGTGAAATACCGGTAGTGGTATCTTAGGTAGTTTAATTTCTAGTTTTGTTTTCGAATCAGCCTGAGATATTTCATTTTCACAATTAATTATTGAAGGTTTAATTATCAAAGAGTTAAGAATATCTTTAATTCTTACCTCCAGAGCTTCGAGTCTGTCTACTGTTCCCTCCAAGTCCGTTTCTACTTCAGTTACCTCAGGGTCAGTTATGTCTTTTAGCCCATAATAATGCTCCTTTAATTCATCAACTTTTTTATACAATTGTTCCACACGCTTCAGCTTGACCTCTAATTCAGTATGGTTATGTTCCTTCGTCTGGTCAATGTATGTTTCTAGCTTTGTTATGGTACCTTTGACGGCACGCTTCGATCTATTTAGTTTTTCTTTTTCCATCTCCGGCT